TCGCGATTGGAGGTGCCGAATGGATTTCGCGAGTTGGTTGTCCGAGCTGATTCCTTGAGTGCGAAATTCGAATTGGCCGTGGGGTGGGTGTCCCCGACTTAGTGCGCCGAGTTGACCCGCGTCTCGCGTTCGTGTCGTGTGGGCGCAAAGCGTGGGGGGTGAGTGTGGGCGCGAGTGCGGGGTGCGAGTATGAAGTGCGAGCGTGAGCGCACAGTGCGGGGGACGATTGCGGGGGCGAGTGCGGGGTGCGAGTGCGAAGTGCGAGAATGCAGTGCGAGTTTGGGCGCCGAGTGTGAGGGGCGGCCGTGCGCCCCGAAATGGCTGCTAGCTAAAGAGGCACGATCGCTGCCCCACAGGCATACACAATCCATGACGGCCCAAGAGTCCCCCAAGACGACCCCAAGAGGATCCCAAGACGTCCCAAGAGGCCTCCAAGATGCTCAAAATGGCCTCCAAGGCGGCCCTGGATCACCCCAAGAGGGCCCCGAGTCGGCCCAAAGAGGGCCCCAACCAAAATGGCCAAAGAGGCCCCCGAGGAGCCCCCACAGGACCCCAAGAGGCCCAAAGAGGCCCCCAAGATGCCTTCGAGGCTCCCAGGAAGAGTGTCCCCATAAGCTCCCAAGATGCCCCCTCACCTTCCTCCTCCTCCTGATCTTCCCCGCCATCCTCCAAAGTGCTCCCCGAAGGGCTTCCACAACGGTTGGGGGAACACAAGGTCCGATAGCTTGGCAGAGCTCTTGCCACAACGCTCGGCCACATGGGCGATTCTAGAAGGCAGGGGGCGGCGGTGATTCGCTGTAGGCGTCTTCGCTAACTTCCACGGTCGTCGCAAGCTCTGACTCCTTCTGGGGTCGGCGGGGTGGCGTAAGTCACTTGAATTAAAACAATGTCCGCGTGACGGTCGCTACCTGGGGTGGGGGGGCCGGGTAACGGTAACGCTTGGGCGGGGTGGGGCACGTCGGGGCGAGGGTGCACTGCGATCGCCGCAGTATTCGCTGGAACACCGCGCTTCGTCTGCGGCCACAACAGGGGCCAGCGATCCGATTGCCTGCGCGGAGCCCGGGAGCACCATCAGGGCACCTGCGAGCACCAGCTGGGACAGCAGCGATCACCGACCCCACCCCAAAAAAAGAAAGAGGTACGATCGCTATCGTCACGGGCGGGAGGAGGTTGGCCGTGGCAGCGACCGTTGCGCGACCTCCACCACCTGCACGCGAACCCCGCGGGCACCCAACCCCCTCCTTGAGGTAGATGCCGTCGGGGGGAAGGTCGCCCCTCCTCGATCCTTCCTCCTGGTGTTCCTCCTCCTCCTCCTCCTCCTGCTCCTTCTCCTCATCCTCCTCTTCCTTCCTCCCCCTGGGACCCTGGGGCCCTGACGGCAGAAATGTCACCCGACGTTGCCATCGTCCACCTCCTCGTTCTCCTCCTCCTCCTCCTCCTCCTCCTCCTCCTCCTCCTGCTCCTGCTCCTGCTCCTGCTCCTCCTCCTCCTCCTCCTCCTCTTCCTCCACCTCTGGCTCCGCCTCCGCCTCCGCCTCCGCCTCCGCCTCCGCCTCCGCCTCCGCCTCCGCCTCCGCCTCCGCCTCCGCCTCCCCCTCCCCCTCCCCCCTCCCCCTCCTCCCTCCTCCTCCTCCTCCTCCCTCCTCCTCCTCCTCCTCCTCTCCTCCTCCTCCTCCTCCTCCTCCTCTCTCCTCCTCCTCCTCCTCCTCCTCCTCCTCCTCCTCCTCCTCCTCCTCCTCCTCCTCCTCCTCCTCCTCCTCCTCCTCCTCCTCCTCCTCCTCTCTCCTCCTCCTCCTCCTCCTCCTCCTCCTCCTCCCTCCTCCTCCTCCTCCTCCTCCTCCTCCTCCTCCTCCTCCTCCTCCTCCTCCTCCTCCTCCTCTCTTCCTCCCCCTGCTCAGGATCATAAGCAGAATCATAAGCCAAGGTGTCACCGCAGAGAGCGTGCACAGAAAACACACTACGCTAAGATCAGGCAACGCGGAGAAGCTCAAGACTGGCGCGGACCACGTCCGACTGAGGGAGAGGGGAGGCGGGAGTTGGGGGGAACCCCGGCGTGCGAGCCAGGCAGCATATTCTCCAATGCATATCGAGCGCTATCGTGCCAGCTCTGTCGTGGACGACGGGCTGCAAGTCTCGTATCCGTACGTCCAGCATGCAGGCTGTAGCTGTTCAGTTGCGCCCTTGTGCCTTGGAGCCACCACTCGCCTTGCCAATGCAACAACTGCGCCGCCCATGAACGACAGTTCCGGGGTCGCTCCAAGTGCGCACGCCAATCCAAGACACGGAAACAATGACGATGGCTCCACCAAGGTCTCCGCCGACACAGGTCCTTGGCCTCGCGAGCCATACGACGGAAATAATCAGGCGCCTGTTCGCTGGCGTGCCGCGGCACCGGCATGAGTAAGCCAACCATGCGGCGCTGACAGGTATCAATGCGCCCCTCCAGGGTGGCGGCTGGGGGCCATGGGCTGCATCGATAGTCAAACACAAGAAGTATGGAC